TACATAAAAAATAAGGAGAAGCTAATCTATTGGGATTCATGTACAAACATAATTAAGAACCAAAGTAATAATGTATTTATCTATGATTTACACTAAAACATTCATCTCAATTGTGGAATAGTTTTTGGGTGAGGATATCTATGTTTTTTCCTATACGTATGACTTTTATTTTTACTTTTTTCTTACAAATAAAATAAAAAATTTAAACTCACATAATTGTATCACTGAATTATATATATGAAAGTTGGTCAACTCTCTCCATATGAGTGCCACATCATCACACAAGAAAAAAACATGCGTCATTCTATATTATTTAAATTAAAAAATTAGCCAAATTAAATCCTATATATGAAAGTTAGCCGGACCTCCACCATCACGCATACGATTGGTCATCTGGATCGTGGCGCGGGCTTCGATTCCGTAGTTACCCACGGTGGCTCCGCCATGGACCTCGAGCACATTCTTGCCGTGAACGAGGTATTGATATGCCGGTTCTACACCCATAGCTTCACATATTTTCATTTTCATTTTGGAGACAGTGTCGGTTTTTTCAACGTTGACACAGTAAGTCTCCCCAGTGATGGTTTTAATAAACACTTGCATCTGCAAAAAAAGAAAAAAAAAAACGATTCAAAGATTGTAAGTTTAATAACTTAAGTGTTGAACACACACATATATATACACTAACCTTGAGATATAGAGATTTTTTTTCTTAGAGGAGGAAATAGAGTTTGAGCGAGTAAATAAATCTCCAACTCTCTTTCTTCATATAGGGAATGAGTTTTGGGTTGAAAAAAATAAATAAAAAATAATTAAAATGTAAATAATATTGATTTTAGAGGACACATTTGTAATTGTAAAAACTTACCATAATAATCATGGACAAAATCACACGTTCAATCTCTGATCAATATCAAATTCAGCAAAATATTATTGTTGTCAATAAATAAGACTGGTGGGAGTTTACGAAGACTTATGGATGGAAGAGATGTACACACTCTCTTTCTTTGCTGTTTACTTCATATATTATGTGTGTGTATTATGGCTGTTGTTATTACTAGATGAAATACCCACGCTACGCGTGAGTTTGTTTTGAAAATTGTTAATTGTTTTTGTCACTAATTTATATTTTTTTTGTTATTGTATAGTTAATAAAATAAGACTCATCTTATGTACTTACAATTTTTATGATTAGATTCTTTTTTTGACTTTAAATATCTATTTATACATTTTCATGTATAATCTGTTTATTTTTATATCTAAGATTCTAATATTTGTTCACTATAATGAATAAACACAACAAGAATATAAAATATTTTGATCTCAAGAATTTTCGTATGAAAAGAAGAAAAAGAAAGTAAAAATTAAAGAGTTATTTAAGTAACACTTTTAGATTTTATGCTATTGCATATAGTCATATAAGAGAAATGAATTTGTCTTGAATTTTGTGGTATGTCTAACGTCTCAAAATCTCATTACTTGAAAACTACTTGAAAAAATTTGCATGTCAATATTACGAACATACCATAACATACAAAAATGAAATGAGAGAATGTCATATGATACGATATGGACCATAACGTAATAATGATAAAATATTCAAGGTAAATTACTAAAATAATAAGATATTAGGTAGCAAACAACTAAACTACAACGCAAATAATTATTTAGTCATTATCTAGTGATGATCATTAAATTAAAAAATTAAAAAAATAAGAAAAATATAATGAAAGTAGTGTTTGATTTATTAAAATTATTTTATAGTTTTATTTTTATTTTGAAGAAATCATTTATGAGTGGGATTAATGGAGGATTTAACACAATAGAAGACTTTTTATTTTTCCTCAATTAATTTTAGTGATTTTTAAAATTTAAATACTATTGAATGACACATGTCATTTTCTTGTGTGATGATGTGACACTGTTTAAATTAGCATCTTTTTCTTTTACCTCGATTGAACAAAAGAGAAAAAAAAACAAAATTGGAGAATTCTGGAACTTGGTAGCCAGACAATCTGAGGAGTCAATTCCCTTTGGGTCGTTCCAGTAGTTCATGTTAGCTAGCTTGGATTGTTTCTTCATCTTCATGGCCGGTATGATGTCCTTTATTCTTATGGGTCTCATGTCCATCGGTCTTGTAGATTTAAAACTTGTCCAGCTTATGGGTACACCCAAGGAAAGAAAACAAGCTGTTAATTCACTTTTTTTTTTGCTTTGATCTAGGTTGGTAATTATTCTTTCTATGCCCTCTCTGTTTTTGAATGCCGATCTTTGATAGCTCTAAATTATTCTTTATATAGCTGTTGTTTTCTAGTTTTCGAGAGACAACATCAAATATATATGTTTTTCTACTCTTTTGCAATATTATTGTTCTCATGGCGGTAACTAATAAAACTCTGTTCTGCCTATTTATAGTAACTACACATCTATCAATATGTTATGATTCTTGAAATAATTTAAATAATCAGGAAAACAAATTGATAAAAAGTAAACAAAAAATAAGCAAAAAATAAGCAAAATCGTATATACAAAAGTAAGGTTTCACTCTCTCCTTAATTTTTTTTTGAATTAAACCACAAATAAAACACATTTAATCATATTCATTTAACTCATACTTAACTATAAAACTAAAATCATATAAATTATGCATTAACTATATTTTTCCACTCATTTTTATTCAACACACAATAAATTAGAATTGTAACTCTCCCAAATTTATTTGTTTAACTGTAACTTTTTTCACTTCTCATCATATAAATACTCATTTTCTCTTTCTCTCATCCTCTGCCCCTATATCTCATATCTTATATATATATTTTTTTGTAGTTGTTGTTGTATGGATTAAAAAACCCAATTTAAATATTATTTTTATTTTAGAGACTATATTTTATATTACGTTTTCTCAAAATTATATATTTTCAATAATATAATAAGTACAGTTATGTCATCATTTATCAATTAAATTTAATAAAATAATATGTAAATTTTAAATAATCAATTAAATAATTATTGATTATATTATTTTTTTGAACAAAACAATGTTATATGGGTCTAAATGGGTTTAAATGGGTCAATGAAACTTAAATGGGGAGGGTAAATGGGCTGTAAACTTAAATGGGGTTATATGGGTTTACAGTAAATGGGGTCGGTCTAAATGAGGTGGGTTTACCCATATTAACATCTCTATTGCACGCTTTGCTTTACAAAAACGACTCAATATTTTTATTTTTATTTTTGTCAACCACACATTAATTAATAAATAACTCCTTGATTGGTTGCCCAACTAGGAGGAGAAGTGTTTACAAAAGTAACTTCAGAAAATAAAAGTCTAGAAGATCGGGCTAAACAGTCCGCTTTAACATTACATAAACGAGAAATAAGAGAAAGCGAGAACAAGGGAAAGTAGACACGGAGCAAACCAAACTCATCTAGCAGATTGGAGAAAGCGGGCCAATCTTCAGGTGACTGTATCATCGAGACTAACTCCGAACAATCTGTTTCAAACACCTGACAATCAATCCTTCTTGAAAGGATATTTTTCATAGCCCAAATCAAAGCTTCCATCTCCGAATGAAGGGGGGAGGGACATCTCCGAAGGCACTTTGCACCGAGTAATATCGTTTGATCGATTCCTTGAAAACACCACCATCCTATACCCATAGTTGGATCCGAAACTTTCCAAGAGGCATCAATCCGACATCTTATTGATTGAACTGGATTTTCCAAAACTTCCATAGTAGAGCTAGTTTCGACTGTTTCCAATTGAGCTTCTTCCCACATTAATTTTTCATTCAAAGCATGATTTAAAATATCTATGGGTACTGATTGTAAACCTTTGAAAACCTTTTTATTCCTATCTTTCCAAATGAACCACAAAATTCAAGCATAACAATATGTGAACTCCCCCCCCATCTGGAGTAGAAGGTAATCTCCGATAAAGATAATCTAGATTTAAATATTCCGAGCTTAAAGGAAATATACCTGATGCCGTAGGTATTGTGGATAAATCCCATATTTCCTTAGAGTGAGGGCATTCAAATAAAGCATGATTTATTGTTTCCTCTGCCATCTCACACCTTTTACAGATAATATCACATTGAATTCCTCGATGTGCTAATTTTGAAGTCACTGCTAGGGATCCCGATGCAATTTGCCATAAGAAATGTTTTATTTTTGGAGGGGCTTTGACTTTCCAAGCTTGTGCTTGTAATGATTGATAATTTGGGCCCCATTCAATCGTTCCTGTCAGCTCTCGAGCAACCCGATAACCTGACTTTACTGTATATCTTCCTGATTTTGTATGATGCCAAATAAGCCGATCTGGTTTATAAACTTGACTAATAGTCAGTCCTCTAATAAGCTGAATATCCACTGGATCCAAAAATTCTTGTAAGATGAGAAGGTGCCATTCTTTGGAAACCGGATTAATTAAATGGTTAACCATTAAACTTGGAAGTAATGATTTTCCTCTTCCATTTGCGGGACGTGGAATAACATCAGACTCTGAAACTGAATATTATAACTCTGAAACTGAAGAAATAGAATTAAACAAGTATTCTTGTATGAAATACGGCAAACAGATAACCATAACACTGCACAACCCATGTTTTTTATGTTTTTCATATTCATACACATATTAATCTATTTTCGTAATCTATTTGTATATTTAGGAAGCATCTCTATTCTTGCATGTTTAGGTTGCACATCAAAGCAACAAATAACACTGATAAAGCTTCGTTTATTTTATTTGACGATGTGGTCATTCTACTCATTGAAAAATCAGCATATGAATTGCTTGAGCAACAACTTCTGGTACTTCCATTTCCTCTTCTTTTTTTTTTTCTTTTTTTTTTTTTTGATTTCCTCTTCTTATAATTACCATTCTTCATATTTACCATATACTTGCTTTGTATTATATAAGGATATAATTTTCAAATCCTTTCTAATAATATAGTTTAGTCATTCCGGCGAAACACCTCAAGAACTGCATGATCTAGACACTCATAATTATGTTTTCAAGATCATGGTTAAAGATGCAGCAAAGTATAACCAATCTTCTACATACAGAATTATAAGTCTTACTGATGTTCCCGATATTATTCAAAGTTTCTCTGAATGTGCTTCTACTTTGGTGAATAAACAAAATAAATATTATTTAAATTTGATACATTAAGTATATTCATTTCTTATTATTTGATTTTTTTTTGTTGTTGCTTTTACAATGCTATTGAACAAGAAATAATCACCGTATCTGGAAGTTTAATTGGAAGTTCAATTGGGACCTCAACACACCTTCTAAACTAAAGTTATCACTTATTCATATCCCTTTACTATTACTATTAATGTTATTTTTTTCTTACATGCTGAAACTAACCTTTGTGATGTGGAAAACATAGAAAACAATGCCAACAACAAAAAGATCTTTGGCATCATTTAAAGATGTTCAACAATCATCAATAAAGCATAAGCTAATGTCCAAGGCTCAGATTAAAAAGGAAAATGAATGATTGTAGGAAAAAATGTCATGTGTCTCTTATTTTACTACGTTAGGACTTAGGATCATCACTTTTTCTTGAAATATAGGACTATCACTTTTCAATTTGCGTTGTATTTTTTAGTCTTTAAACCATGTCAACTTTCAAATATTTATTTAATTGTTTAGGACGTCACTCACCGAAATTAATGATCTACAAATAATAAGGATTTACGTAAAATTAAACAAAGAAAAAAATCAATTTACTCAATCGTAACCAAATTTAGAGTGGTGCAAAAAACTATAAGATTACAATAAAGTCAATTATTGAATATACAGTCGTCCCTTCCCCCCCAACCCACGATCTCACTATCTAGCTCCACTTCTCATCAATTCTTCAACAATAGAACAAGAACATGGTTTCATACAAAAAGCTTTTGGATCTCTTCCTTTTTTGATTCATGTTTCCTACAGCTCTAATCAGGTAGAAAGTTTAAAGGTTTTACATTTTGCATAGTTTCCACCATTAACTTTTACAATCGATAGTTACCATATATGTTTCTCCCGGATCCTATCAAATATTCTCCACCATTACCTTCTTCATAGGTTTTTAACTTCTGTCAGAAATCCATATTATTGATTCTCATCACTAACCAATTCCCAATCTACCCAATCTCACAAACACAACAACAGCTAGGCTAAACACTCTGATCACTCACAAAGAACTTTAACAGCTTCTAGCCTAGAACTTGATTCACAGAGATGATACAAACGGCCAAACTAAACCTAACACTTAGACTGCCAATATATAGGTAATGACACAACACGTCATTAACCTACACTACAAGAAATGTGGGTATTGATAGCACTAAAAGATAGCGTTTTTAATGTCTCTGCTATGTTTGACTTATTCGATAGCGTTTTGTGAATTGTAAACGCTATAAATGATTGAAGCGGGATAAATGAAATTCACGCGGCCAAGTTTCGGGTTACTAAAGTGTAATTCCCGCTATTGAAAATGTTAAGAGGGAAAAATGAGAAATTTGGCTAAGGCAAAATAAATTAAAACAAGAAAATCACTTTTTCATTTTTTTTCCTAAGGCAAAAATCACTTTGTCTCTCTCGATTTCTCTCGATTTGTCACAGTCAACAACAGGGATCTTAACTTCGGTCAACGCCGCAGATGATGGGTCCAGTAGTTTCGGAAAAACCAACCTGACCGGAGTTAGAATTTATCCGACATTGAGTCGGCGACGATTCTCATCGATCGGAGTTGTGTCCCCAATTCGCGGAGATGCCCAATCTTCCTTTAGTCGCAGGTAAAGCCTCCATTTTTGGGTTTTGTGTCTGTTTCTTAGAGTAACACACATCCTCTGGAATTGTTTGTGGTCACTTAATGTAAATCTAGCAATCTAATTGTGCTCTTGACCCCTTGAATTGCTGCAGTTCTTTCGTTTGCTCTCAGAATCTTGGTTTGAGCGGTGGAATCAGTGGTTTCAGTGCACCTGAAGCTCTGCCAAATGTTTGTGAAAATGCCACTCCTTCTTCCATCAAATCTTTCAACCAGGTTAGATTTTGATTTTAATCCCTTGTTTCTAGGTCTTTGATAAATCTACTAGTTAATATCTGTATCTGTTTTTTTTTTCTGACTTATAGATTGACTCACTTGCTTCATGCTGACTAAACATGTTTGGTCTTATATGTTCTTTAAATTTCATTTGTATGGCTTGGATTTGAGTGACACTGTATTACGTATTACTTGATTGGATTTTAAAGAATTTTAGTTTGTTGAGCTTCCAATGGCTTTGAAGATAGATATCTAGATATTGAGATTACTATGTTCTCATAATGTGTTTGATCTGTTCTATTTTTTTTTTCTCTCAGTTGATTGAGACTTTGATTGATCGTGTTGATCTATCTGAAGCTGAGGCTGAATCATCTCTCGAGTTTTTGCTGAACGAGGCACTAATTAGTGCCTTTCTGGTTCTCCTGAGAGCTAAAGGAGAGACATACGAAGAAGTAAGTCAAGCTAGGCGTATACAAAAAACATACATAATTCTAAATTATAGCACTTCACTAAGTAAAGCACTTCACTAAGTAAACAAACGATGTTGGGTAGATTGTGGGGTTGGCTAGGGCAATGATGAAGCATGCCAGGAAAGTGGAAGGATTAGTCGATGCTATGGACATAGTTGGAACAGGTGGTGATGGAGCAAACACAGTCAATATATCAACTGGATCTTCAATACTTGCTGCAGCTTGTGGTGCAAAAGTAGCATAAGGTAATAGAGGATTAAGCTACAGATTAATGGAGAAAAGAAGCTGGCTTTCAATGAGTTTTTGAAAGACCCATCTGGCATGGAGGCTGTGATCAACGCTAAGGCTTTGCAGAGTTATCATTTAGTTGAAGATACTGATGATACTTACATCAGGTTCTTTCTTTAACCCTCTAGTTCAATGTTCATAAGACAAAATTTTCATACTTGTCTTGCATAAAGGTCATTTGCATATGTTTTAGGATCTGTATTGCTTTGATTGTCATCTGTAGCTTCTTAGTTTGCTCAGTAGCTGCAGAAATTTTGATGTCCTAGAACTGTTAATAGATATTATTTGCTCCACTTATTTATTTCGGATTTATCACTACAAGAAAAAGGGCTTTTCGTAGCATCTGAAAAACGCTATCTAACGATTCTATAGCGTTTTGACAAGCGCTATTTCTGCCCCCGTCATAATAGGTCAGACACTTTAGATAGCGTTTTTTCTTAATGCTATGTTATTGTTCTATACAATAGCGTTTTATTAAATGCAATTAAATATAATATAATAGCGTTGTTATGTTGTTATTAATAATATTATTAACAACGTTTTAGGCAGTGTTATGTTTATTATTAATTTATTATAGCATTATATTAATTTATCTATATTTTTGTTTTATACAAGATTGTATTAATAAAGTATTTGTACAAATTATATACATTATTTCAGTTTATTAATTTTTAATTATATTTTATTTAGTATTTATTACTTTTTTGGATAAATTGACATTAAAAATATCATATTTTATTATATTATATGAATCTTAATATAAAAAATTATATTACAAAGTAAAAATACAGAATTAAAAAGTGAAAGTACATATTAAAGATTGATCAATAGAACTCTTGTACTTTAAACACACGAATTGAAACCAAACTGTGTATACGATTTAGCTTTAGTCAATTGGATCAAATTGGTTTTCTGGATACGGGCCGAGTGGTGCAAATGAGGCCCAGTTAGCTTCACGATCATCTGCTATGCGTTTTGACGATCACACTCTTGTGTGATTCTTAGGTCACGAGAAAGTAAGAGATTCCCTCTACAACTGCTACCGTGCGTCTTTCTTCCTCTCAAACTTAAAACCTGCAAAAGTACCAAACTATTAGCAACAAGATCTGAGAAATACACATAGATCCAAGCTTAATCTGACCTTAATATGCTACACAAAAGATTTGCCCTTTCCATCGCCGCAAGCCCATCGAAGGACCACTTCTTAATTCCTTGATCAGATCTCTTCTATCTGCAACAAATCCCTACTATTTTAAGAATCCAGAAATCTAGAGTGATAGAGAGAGAAGATATGGTGAAAAGAAACCTTGACATATTCTGAGAGAACGGTGAGTTGAGTCGGCTTTTTTCATCGACATGGAGGATTTGAGTCAATCATGAGAAAAATGTGAGTTGAGTCTGTAGGAATATTGTCGGAGCTCGAGTGAGAACTGTGAGTTGTCACTAATCGAGTGAAAAGGAATAAGAAACGATGGGTGAGATGAATAAACAAAAGAGAGGATTGAAGGAAAATGATAATTGTTCGGTGATGAGAGATGATTGTGAAAAAAGAGAAGGTGAAACAAGGATCTGTAGTGTACTTGTCATATTGACCATTGATTATCTTTTAATCGGACGGTTTGTATTACTTTGCTCCATAGATGGCAGGGATCGATGACGTGGCGCTGAACAAAATACTAAGTAAAAAAATACATAGGTTTACGACAAAAAAAAAAAAAAAAACAAATACATAGGTTTTGGTTTGGGAAAAATGTCATTAAAATCCTCACTAGTTTTAGGGTATAGGGTTCAATCTTGAAACACATTTCACTAGTTTTCAATTAACAAAATAAAATGCAATAAAAAGCATTAAAAACTTTTCACTGAAATTTTATTTACAAATTATAACCTATGAGACATTATTATAATTATTTTATTATATGATACATTAGTTAATTGTGTATTCCATTGTTACTTGTATATATATTTTAATTTTGTGTTCGGAATCACTATATATATATGTAAGATTGTTGTTACTTTTATATATACATGTATATATATCGATATAAAATATAACTAATTCTGTATACATAAAATATTTCCAACAATCTTCAAACACCAATTTTTCTGGTTTAAAATTATTTGATAGTATATTATTAACAAACTATGGAACGTATATGAATAATGATGAATTAAAATTTATTTTATTTGTAGTTTTAATTATGTTTTGTGTATTATTAATTTATATTTGTAAGATTGTTGGAAATATTTTATTTATACAGATGATAAGAGTACATGTGACAGAGACTTACACAATGAAAACTTTATACTAAAGCTTATTTTACTGATTCTCGATCTCAAGAATCTCCGATCAATATACACATGCAAACTATAATTTATTCCCCCAAAAATCTGATGATCACATAAGAATACAATGTAGTGGCTCGGGTAGGTTAGACTTTTAGCACTATTTTTTAGGGACTCATAATACTTGAGATGTTGCAATTGTGATTATAGAGAGTAGAGTTAGGCGAGAAGATGATGGAATAAGTTGATTGGTTTTTTCTTCCTTCCCATAATTGTTGCTCTACAACCTGCTTAAAGGCAACATATTTTTGATCTCCTTTCGAAGTAATTGAGTACCATACAGTAAGGTGCAATGGTGTCATACCGTCCTGCATAATAACCAAAACCAAATCAGTCCAAGCTGTTGTCACAGTTGATTCTTCCCATTTTAAAATCAATGAAGTAGAGCTGCAAAATTCCACATTACAAAAGGGAAGACATATAACTATAGAGAGTTAGGAAATTACGCTGGCTATGGCTTCAACAGAACACCACTCCAAGGAGTAGTTTTGCAGCTCGTGACTAGTTCTATTAAGCCAATATTTACTTGGCTCTATTTCAATTGGAAATAAAAGCATCTGCACATCAAAAAGTCAATCTATTAAACTCATTTTTATGTAAGTCTATATAAGTCAAGCCATTCCATATGTCTCATGTCGTTGCTTATACATAGTATTCTACTTTGTAATGTCATAGTTATTCACTCACATCTCACATACCTGATAGTTCTCCTTTGTGCGAAAATCAACTACAATCACAGTCAAATACATATCAGTTAGAAATCGGTTACTCAGTACTCACAAAAAAAAACCTTCAAATTGAAACCCGGGAATACCTTTGAGTGGATGTTCCCTGCCTCTTCCTGCAAAATAGAAAAATAATCGATGGATTAATACCCAATTCTGTAAATTTTAATCTTAAATCTGTGCAAATAACGAAAACTCAAACACAATTTCACCTTATATGTCAAATTCGACAACAACAATTTGATTTACACCGATGAAGATGAGGACGATTAAGAAGAGGGAACGAGATTGAGAGTGGGAGAACGAGACATAGACCAAAGAACAACACAGAGATTGAAAGGTAAAAATAAAGAGATTGATAGAGGAACGAGACTGAGATTGATATATCAAGACAGAGATTGAGGATTTAGAGTGAGGGAACGAAATCGATACAACGATGGAAGATGTGAAAGTATAAGAGGAGGAAACGAGACAGAGCTGGAGGATCGACACAGCGAGACGCGAGACAGAGATTGAGCGGCTGGGTGAGAGACAGAGAGAAAGGGGCTGCGTTTCAGAGAGAAAGAAGAGAGAGGAGATAGCCAAAGTTTTTTTTTTTTCTTTTTCTCTTTGAACAAAAGATAGCCAAAAGTTTCATATCGAGTTTCAGATCTAAAGAATTTATTTTCTCTATTTTCTTCTCTCTTTTTTCTTTCGACACTTAGAAAATTTTTGGAGCCAAATGAAATTTCTAAAATTTCTAAGTATCGCGGGTTTCTTAATTACCGCCTAACCATATCATAGCGTTTTAAATTAGCAGTCTGCTATTAATAAGCGTTTTAGAAAAAACGTGACAAAAAATTTTAATATTACAATATATAATAGCGTTTAAAAATACACAAACGCTATCTTTAATAAAGTGGTTTCATAACCATAGCATTTAGTCCACAAACGTTATGTTATACTGCTATAAAAACCCATTATTCTTGTAGTCTATCTTTGCTTGTTCTCTGATTTGATGTCCTAGAACTGTTAATAGTGATACTGTCTCAATACGATCCCTTTATATGCGTAAGTGTATGTACAAGCATGAACTAAGATCTGAAGATAAAAAGAATCTGAGAAGTCTAATTGACAAACAACATCTTTGCCAATTTTTAAGCTGTATAATATGTGAGATTCTCCAATTTGAAAGTCCTCTGCAGGAGGAAGTAGTTTTGGTTGTCCAGAGAATGCTACAGCTTCTATAATTAGGTAAATACACATAGGTTCTGTTCACATGTTTCATTATGTGAATATGAATATGTTTAGATATAGCTCAGTAGTAATAATCAGGTAATAAATTGATTAGATATAGCTCAGTAGTAATAATAAATTGAATGTGTGCTCTAAGTATCATAGTTCGTGGTTTCAGATCATGTGTGCACAGAGACATTAAGTCTAGCAACATTCTGATTGATGACAAATTCAATTCTAAAATTTCTGAGTAATATGTGTCAATGCACTGAGTAATGCCTATCATTTGGCACCAAACTCTTCTAACCTTGGTGCAACTGTAAGGAAGAAAGAGTCATTCAACTTCTTTTGCCTAGCAAAATCACTATCTTTGTGTTGAATCCTCTATTTTTGTTGCAGGTACAAGCATGAACTAAGATCCTGAGTTTTACAGCTTTTATGCTCCAAGTATATATGAAAATGTTCATGTTGCAGAGGTTTGAACAAAAATCTCAAGATTCTGAGTCATTACCACTTGTTCCCACCACCAAAACGTTTCTCAGGTAAACTCTATCACTATTACATTTCCTATAAAAAAATGTCGAAAAGGTGTTAAGGTCATTTTCTTGTTTTGTGTTTCAGGCGATTCATTCAAGCAGCACAAGCGTCTCACAAGGTGGTTCCCGATATGGAGATGGAGTTTCTAGCAAACCAAGTTATAAACGTGTTTACTTAACATTTGTAAACTTCAATTGACATTTTGTAATTGTCGTTTCATGCATTTGATTTCAATTTCTCTAGTTCTGTAAATAGCTTGGATGTGTATAAGAAACTTATTAGATTATGTAATATTAGTATTGTGAAATTAGATTATGGTAATGGTACATTGTGTAATATTATGGTATATATTGGTACATTTTGTAATATTATGATAAAAAAATTAAATTCCTAAATTAAGTCTATAAACCCTAAATTAAAGTTAAAATCCTAATTAAATTAAATCTTTAAAATCCTAAACCCTAAACCCTAAACCCTAAACCCTAAACCCTAAACCCTAAATTAAAGTTAAAATCCTAATTAAATTAAATCTTTAAACCCTAAATTAAAGTTAAAATCCTAATTTAAAATCTAAAAACTATCTAACTTGAGTAAAAAAATCTAAACCCCAAAGTTTAAACCCTAAACCCTAAACTATGCCCTAGTGTTTATGAACATATAAGTTAGATAGTTGGAATACTAATTTATATTAATTGTTCTTAATTTTAAAATTTTATACTTATAAGAAAAAATATTCTAAAAATTGAAATACTTATATTGAATTTTTAAAGAAATAATTTCTATTTTTTTCATTAATAAACAATTTTATATGATAATTTTCTGATTTTTTAATTATTAGCCAATGAGAACTCACCTCCCACATTGTGCGACGAATCCTACACCGTTAGATCGCGCCCACTTTGATCTGAGCCGTCATTTCTTATTGTTGACGTGATTAATATACACCGTTGATCTGTCTCGCTGATTTAATCTGAGCCGTTCATGTTCTTAGCCAATAAGGAGTAACTACCGAGATTGCAGTCTGGGCTTATTCTCCACCGTTGATGAATTTAATCCGCCGGCTAAACGTTTCTCCTTCTTTTCTTTTTTTTTTGGTTAAAACTTCTTTTCCTTTTGGCTTTCTCTTCCTTAGTACGATCTGTTCTTAGATCTTACATCTTATGGGATAGGTTAAAACTTTCAGTCTTCTTCTTCTTCGTTGAGATAGGTGAGCTCATCGACCAACAATGGCTTCCTCTGCAACAGCCCCAAATTCGCTATCTTTCTTCTCCTCTTCTCTCTTTTTATCTTCCTCTCACCAAATCCCTAAAAACCTACATTTCCGTTTCAAAATTCGGCTCCGGCAAAGCATCGAAACCGCTCTCTGTTGCATCTCAGCTAGCGACTCTTCCAATCATCTCATTCGAGGGAGAGAAGGTCGGGGAGACTTATCTGGACCTCAAAACGGCGCCGGAAGATACCACGCGTGCCGTTGTTCAAGGCAGATTTCAATTCAATCGTGTATTTGGGTTTACGGGTCCAGTCATCTCTGTGACGGATATCACAAGGAGGAGATTAGATAAAAAGTCAGATTTATGTTCCTGAATTTGTAGACGAAGGCGAAGAAGATCTTGGCAATTTTAAGGAACCTACGACTGATTTTAATGACAAAGTAGGGAAGAAGAGACAGAGGAAGAAAGATGAGTCTGGTCTTGAGAAGACGAAGAGGAAGAAGAAGAGAAGAAGCAAGATTCTGTTGAAAATTCCAGCAGAGGTTCAGGAGAAGTGGGATTCAATTACAAACAACGAGAACTCCAAGGTTTGTTTCTTTGTTTGTTGTCTGAATCTCTGGTTCCTTGTTCTGTTGTCATGATATCATAAGTTTGATTTCTCTCTTTATTGTTAACAGGATAGTTTTTTTGGACGACGCTTACATGATGAGCAGAGAGCTATCGGAAGAGACTGGAAAGGAGTCAAGGGTGTGATGGGAATGTCGCTGTGGAGATCAAAGATGGAAGTTTTAGTTGGGATGATGAAGACGACGAGCCTGCAATTGAAAACATTAACTTTGAGGTTAAGAAAGGGGAGCCTGCGATTGTAGGGACCGTTGGGGTCAGGGAAGTCTTCATTGTTAGCTTCAGTTCTCGGCGAAATGCACAAACTTTCAGGCAAGATTTTGGGGAACTGGTAGCAGCGCACGAGACATCAATGGAGCAAGTTGAAGCTGGGTCGGCATCAGCCACTGCAGCAAATGTGCCAATGGCATCACCAAGAACACAGAGAACTATTTCAATAGAGTCTCCGCGTCTACCACCAACACCAAAATCTCCCAAAATACATAGAACTACTTCAATGGTTTTTGTAAACAATGAAATTTGAAATGGGTTACTAAACATTTTAATATTTATAGATTTTGTATTAATTTTAATGGTATTTTTTTTTTACAAATATTCGAAATTAATTTTTTTTACAAATATTATATATAAATTAAAAAATAATTCGTAATTATTTATTATTTTGAATAATTTAAAAACAAACTAATAACACAAAACATTTGCTATCTTTTCTATAGGTAAAATCTAATTAACGAGTTTTAATAACATCTTTATCACGCTATTATAAACATTAACAATTGCACAGAAGACAACGCTATCGTTGTATACTTAACTATTGCACAACGCAAAACCGCTATCAAAAGTGTCCGACTTTCTATAACGGACGATGTTAGAGCGCTTAAGGAAACGCTATGGAAGATGAATAATTGCATTTTTCGGCCGCTATTAATACCCACATTTCCTGTAGTGCTATTTTCCTATTCTAAAATATCTTCAAATATAATTTTGTTGATTTGCTAATATCTTGATAATAACATATATATGATGGTTAGTGAGAAGTATGTATTACTATATACATATATGTATTCCAAAAAATTATCACTTAATTTTGATTTTAATATGTAATCACAATTATGTGTGAATAGTGTTTATGACTAAAGTTAATTGTACTTATAGCATAAGAGTTACTGTTAGATGTTGAAGAATTCATCCTAATACTCTAATAGGCGCTAGGCTCTCATGCCACGCCTAGATAACCACATTGACCGCCTAAAATTACATAGATCTTGTTTAATGCATTTTTTCAATTTCAATTAAGTTTTATTTATATATCTATAGCTATAAATATTTATATATTGTTTAATATAAATATAAATAAATGTTTTATCTAGTTTTTGTTTATAATTTCATAATTTTTAGTTTTATATAGATATTTTATATAACTTTTATATATAATATCATATGTATAATATTTTATGTTATAAACGTCTAAACCGCCTAAAAATCGCCTAGGCTCCGGTTAGGCGTTCTAGGCGCTAGGCACTAGGTCACCGCCTGCTTAGCGCCTAGCGCTTTCTTGAACATTGGTTTTTTGATATTCTTTTTTTTACACGCAAGTTAATATATTTATAACTTTTTCCATTAATTTCATCGAAAGCAACTAATAGGAATAGTGAAACTTTTCTTTTATATAAAGTTTTCAATTAATTTCATTGAGAGCATTACTATTACTCTAAACATTATTTTAATGTGGAATAATACAAAAAAAATGATTAATAATGTAACCATAAAAAAACTGACAAAACAAAATGATTGAATTTTATTTCCTTAACAACATAAATGTAATGATTAGTATGGAGACTAAAAATGTAATCATGAGAAATTCATAAGATAATTTTATTTAAAATTATTATATAAATTATCGTGTCAACATTAGATTGGTCTTAAAAGTATGAGAAATGGTATTTTTTAAAGATAAAAAATGAAAATATTGGAGAATAAATAAACGGAAAAATTATTTTTTTAAAAAATCAAACTAAAAATATTGGAGAATGAATAAATGGAGAAAATAATTATTTATTTATATATATTTTGATTAAAGAAATATAGAAATTAATTGTGTTATATTAATGTGAAAAAGATAAGGGGCTTTTGCAAAAATGCCACTTTTTCAATGCCACTTTTCAAAAATACCACTTTTTTAAAACCTTATAAAAAATGCTCTTAAAAATATAAGATTTACCCAAATATGTATGTAATATTATTAAAACATACACAAACTACATTTCTATGTATCTAAAATTTTATAAATACTTTATAAATACCTTATAAATGCATTTTAAATACCTTTAAAAACCTTTAAAATATCTTGTAAAACTTTTGAAAAACCTTAAAAATCCTTAAAAATAACTTGTAGAACCTTTAAAAATACCTTATAAAACCTTATAAATACTTGGATCGAGTCTTCAAGTAGTAGTAACAATCCATAAGTACCTTATAAACCTAATAAAACTTTATAAAAATTTCAGATTAAAAAAGTGGCATTTTTGAAAATGGACATCTAAAAAGGGCATTTTTGAAAAGGGGCACACCAAAAGGGGCATTTTTAACAATTTCCCAAAAGATAAAGACATTACTAATGATTAAAAGACAAAAAAAAAATTGACACATGTCAAATGTTAGAAATGTCAAATGTCAATATTAAAGTAAGTTTAGAGGAAATCTTATAATATTATATAAGATAAGATACATATTTGGTTTGGAATTCAATTACATAGTCCAAAAAAGTTAACTTCGTATATCAACTCTACTAGTAATGTATATGTTCAATGGTGGAAGCTTACCGATGAACATTGACATATATTTTAGTCATTTTGATAATAATTTTTTTCATTAAACTCTCACATATTAACAACACGTAACCAGTTGTTTTTATTTACGCATAATTTGTAGTCAAACATCACTTATATCAGCAGTCTCAAAACCTTAGTACATTATAATTAGCGATGACCATAAGAAGAAAACATCGCCTCGAGAAATATAACCAACCTAACGTTTAACCGAAAAGCTCTTAGCCAAAAACAACACCAAAAAAAAAAAAAAAATTCCTTGCGTGTCTGGTTGTGTCGAATATCTGCTTCTTTTTGTCTATAAACTGTCATGTCCATGTACTTCTCCGGCAGCTTTGGTTTTTAGTCTTTGTCTAAGACCTTCTTCTCTGGTGATTCAGTTTGTCCAAGTTCGTTTCATTTATTGATTTTTCCATTACCATTTTTGAAGCTCTCATCATGAAGGGACTTACAAGAGTTGGAGTACGCCGCATTCTCCTATTTTCCATTTATCACCACTAATTTTGAACTC